ATCTAGTAAGCTGTAGGTAGACAACTTTCTCAAGGACTTTCCCCATAAATGGCAGATTTGAGATGGGACGATAGTTGTTAAGTACCGTAGCATCCAGACTGCTCTTTTTTAGCAGGGGCCTGATGACTGCAGTTTTCAGGGCCTTTGGGAATATTTCAGAATGAAGGGACATGTTTACTATCTGTGTGAGAGAAGGTAACAGACTGCTCAGAACAGACTTTAGAAATATAGTGGGTAGTACATCCAGGCTACATGTGGAGGAGCTCAAACTGGAGATTATCTCTTGGACAGTTTGATCATTTACAGGTGCAAAGTAAGTTAGCTCAAAGAGCCTTTCTGGCTGTTGGATTGTTATCTGTGGATTGGGGACAATGGCGTTTTTGATGCCTTGAACCTTGTCATTGAAAAAATGTGCAAACTCATTACATTTACGTTTGGAAGTTAGCTCTAATGGCATTTGAACAGGGGGGTTTGTTAATCTATTAACTGTTGAGAACAGAACACGCAGATTGTTGCTGCAGCCTTCAATCATTTCAGAAAAATACCTTTCTCTCGTACTACGTAGCACCTGGTTAAACTCGCACAACTTATCTTTGAAGATCTTGTAATCAACCTGGAGGTTGGACTTGCGCCACTTCCGCTCGGCCCTCCGGTACTTTCTCTTTTGTGCCCTGACCGAGTCTGCTTTAGCCCACGGCGCCTTCTGCTTATTTTTCACTATTTTAACCTTCACAGGAGCGATGGTGTCCAGAACTTTCAAAACACTAGAGGTGACAGAGTTAAACAGTTCATCTACAGTAGAATACGATGCATTCTCAAAGTTTATCATTCCCATAAATAGTTCACCCGTATTTTCATTTATGTGTCTTCTTCGTACAGTTGCAGAGTCCACTGGTGGTTTGTTAGTGAAACACATGTCAAAAAATATACAAAAATGATCCGAAAGCGCAACATCGACCACGTTTACATTATAAATGTTCGCCCCCTTTGTAACTAACAGGTCTAGAGTGTGCCCTCTGCTGTGGGTGGGGCCACTCACATGCTGAGTGAGACCAAAAGATTCAAGAAGAGAACTCAGCTCTTTTGCATTTCTGTCATCAACATTATCCACATGAATATTAAAATCACCTGTAATAACTAAACTATCAAAATCTGTGCATACAACTGAAAGCAACTCTGTAAAATTATCAATAAAACTGTGACATGACTGCGGTGGCTTGTATAGGACAACGAAAAGTATTGGAGGAGATTGTTTTTGTTGTATTTTAAAAGACACATATTCAAAAGACGGAAACTTCCCAAGAGACATTCTATGG